AAAGCAGTTTGAACTTCTTCCTTCATCACCACAGGCTCTTGCTCATATGTTGTTTCATTAAATTCTTCTGTGTCTGCCAATTCCTTTCGATACAATGACTCAGTATAATCTTTCTATCTGCTTTTGATACCTCCTGAATCATTTAATACTCTGCCTACAGAATCCTTAATTATAGCAACTTGAGGTTTTAGTTTGTTCTTCACTTCCTTGAGCTTAAGAAATGCTGAGCGAGTTCGACCCTTTCAGTTTTCGGACTCCAACTCCTTGCACATTTCATTGTATAGAGATTGAAAAGGTAAGAGAAACAACTGACAATCTTTTCTTGATTTGGAAACAAGCTCTGTTCCCTGCTCTGTTCTGATGACTGCTTCCTGGTCCAAGCATACTTTTCACATTAATACAATCAAGTGTTCTGTGATTTCCATTCTTCTCAAGGTTACCTTTTTTACAACAGTTTGTTATGATCCATACAGTCAAATTCCTTTGTATAGTCAATGAAACCCAGATAGATATTCCTCTGGTATTCTCTGCTTTCAGCCAAGATCCATCTGATATTGTCTATGATGTCCCCTAGAGCCACAGCCTTTAAACTCATCTTGTATTTCTGTTAATGTATTTTTACTGATGTCTTATTCCAGTTGTTTTTGGATAATCTTCAGCAGAATGTGTTTGTGTATGATATTAGTCATATTTCTCAATAATTTCCACACTCTGTTGGATCACCTCTTTTTGGAATGAGAATACATATGGATCTCTTCCAGTCAGTTGGCCAGGCAAATGTCCTCCATATGTTTTAGCACAACGTGGTAAGCACAATGGCACAGGACAAAGCAAGGCTCAGATCTGTTGTTCAGAGTCACTCTGAGTAGTAGGTGACTCAAGAGCACCTCACAACAACAACAACATGAATTCTGTGGATTACCAATATCAGTTCATTTACACATTATTTTAATTTAAATTTAAAATTTCTCGTAAGGATCCTTTCTGTTATTGTTAGGTGCTTTCACGTTGATGATGACTTAATCATGGCCCTATAAACAAATTGAATGAAACCTTGCCTCATCCTAGGAGCCCTATTAATTCTCTAATAATATCATATGCAAGCAAAATCTTGCTGCAGATTACTCAAAAATGTAATTGGTACAGTACACAGATAGAAAAAAAGCCATAAATTCAAGCTGGATTTAGAAGAGGCTACAGTACCACAGATATCTTTACTGATGTTAGATGGGTCCTGGTTGAAAGCAGAAAATACCAGAAGAATATGCTTCAAGTTGAGCATGATTCCTAGCGAGCTTGAGAACAAAAGGCCTGAAGAGAAATAGTTTATCTATAGATAAATAGTCTTAACTATCAACATTTATCAACTTTCATAGAGTTTCCGGAGGCATGTTCCAAACTTTACTGATTAGGCAAGGGCATTTGAATGAAAGAATAGAAAAAATTTCAGCTAAAATTGAGAAGAATGAGAATCTAAGAACACTTAATCATTATTGTCACTCCACCGAGCATTGTTTTCTTTCATTTTCAATTTTTCTCTCAGTCCAAATTGAATCTGCTTGAATCTTGCCTGGACATTGCCACTCTACAGCTGACCATCATGATTATCTTTTTTTTTTTTTTAAACTGGTTGTTGTTGTTGCTGTTGTTGTTGTTATGTGCCGTCGAGTCGCCTGCGACTCATAGCGACCCTATGTACAACAGCCCTAAACTCTGCTCTGTCCTGTGCCAATCGCACTGTCTCTGACACTCCCATCCCAATTATCCCAGTCACTGAATCAATCCACCTCACAGAGGGCCTTCTTCTCCTGCGCCGTCCCTCCACCCTCCCAAGCATGATGTCCCTCTCCAAGGACCGGTCTCTCCTCACTACATGTCCGAAGTAAGTTAGACGGAGCCTCAGAATCCTTGCCTCCAAGGAGCCATCCGGTTTAACCCTTTCCAGGACAAATCTATTTGTTTTCCTAGCAGTCCATGGTATTCTCAGTACTCTTCTCCAGCACCACAGCTCAAAGGCATCAGTTCTCCTTCTATCCTCCTTGGTCATTGTCCAACTCTCTGATGCATAACAGGTGATTGCGAAGACTATGGCCTGTATCAGACGCACCTTAGTCTCCAGAGAGACACCACTGCTCTTCAGCACTTTGGAGAGGTCCCTAACAGCAGACTTTCCCATGGCAATGCGCCTTTTAAAATTTCCTGGCTGCTGGTGCCAAGACTGTTGACTATGGAGCCAAGCAAACTAAAGCTGTGTACAATCTCAGTCTCTTCACCATCCATCCTGATGCTGCCGATTGGTCCAGTGGTGAGAATCTTTGTCTTCTTGAAAAACCTTAAACTGGTTAGCATACAAAATTCGCAGACACTGTGTTTTGTTTATACCTATATTGTTTCGTTTATCTTCCTCTAATCATATTGTGTTTCGTATGATAATTTCCAGACATTTTGTTTTATAAATCAGTCACCATTGATGCATGCTTACCAATACACTGCCTTTTCAGGTCCCAACCGGATCTTCCCTAATTCCTTCACTCCCTCCCTCTGGCCATCAAACTCTGCAACTTTGTGATTTCCTCTTTCCCCACTCTCAACCTCCTGCCTCACTCCACTTTCCCCTTTGGACTTTTGTACACACTTTATTTCCATTTTTAAATTATGGTCTTATGCAGTATTTGTCTTTATGAGACTGATCTTGCTTTTTCAGCAGCAAAATTTCTTGAAAGATAGTCTTTAATGGCTGATTATATTGATGAGACTGGCTAATCACCTGTCCTTACTAAGGCTATTTTAACTTTCTAAAATACCAAATCAAATCCCTTGTGTCAGTCGCACTCTATTAATCCTCCACATTATCTATAACCAGGCTGCCTACTCTTTCCTTTGGAAATTCTCCTTTGGCTTTCCTAGTACAAATCATCTGCATTCCTACTACTCTATAAATGCTTCCTCTAGGCCCTTTCCAGTTTCTTCTTCCCCATTGGGATCTTAACTTAGAGTGTTTCTGAATTTCCCTGTTAGTCATCTTGTCTTCTTCCTCTATAGCTTTTCTGCAGCTCATGGCATTCCTACATACTGTTACCAAAGCCAGAGCCTACAATCATTCTCAGTAACTTCACCCCTTCCTCCCCACTCCCCTCAATGTAATCTGCCTCTAGAGCAGGTTAAGTCTACCTCCTAACTCACTTTCATTACCAGGGAGTTGGAATTGACTCATAGTTAACCTTCTCCAGCGAGTCTACAAGGGCTATAAATTGCAAGCAAGAATGTCCGTTTTTCTCCCCCAGAGCAATTGGTGGATCCAAACCACATGCCTTTAGGCTGGTAGTGCATCTTCCTATCCAATAGGTGACCAGAGCTTCCTAAAAGCTTTCCAATTTCATTTCATCCACTGCAATTTGAATACTCACAATGCTTCTTTTATTGAAATCCAGTAATATCCAGCATGGAGCACTGTTGTGGACTATTGTTTCTTGTCCCTAATCATTATCTTGCTTATCAGAGAGCTGAACAATGACTAAGGATGACAGAAAGAATTGATGCCTTTGAGTTGTACTGGAGAACAGTCTTGAACATACCATGGACCATCAAGAAAACAAATAAGTCTGTGTTGGGAAGAGTGAAACCCAGTTTCTCCTTGAAGGCTAGGATTTTGAAGGTCCACCTCACATACTTTGGGCATATGGCCAGGAGTAACCAGTCCCTGTCAAAGGAAATCATGCTCAGAAGGGCGGAGGGACAGAGCAGGAGAGGAAGACTCCAGAGGAGACAGACTGACACAATAACTGAAGTAGCTAGGGTATGTTGTGTTGGAGTCAGTGAGACTGCTCAGGAAAGGGCAGGCTTCAGGGTCGTACACAGGGTTGCTATGGGTCACAAGTGTCTCAAGGATATAAACAATAAGTTCAGTCTGAACTTTTAAAATACACACCAGATCCTACCTTAAAATGATACATAAATGCTTGCATGAACAAATGAAAAAATCAATTGCTTCCTGTTTTTCTAAAATGGTGCTTTTTAACTACTAAAATAAACAATTTAGAGAATTACTAATTGAAACTTAGCCTCATACCCTTTGCCTATCAGCCCTCAGGTCTATACTATATAGAGTTTCTGTATTAGTTTTACTAATGGTAATAGTTTTATTAAAAGTTTATTTGTTCTTAAATATTCAATAATTTTCCTTTATCTAATTTATAAATAATGCCATTCAGACCCTACAGCCCTCTTTCCTAATTAGTACTTAATACATCTAAATTAGACCCTTTGACATCTCTGAAAAATGATTGAAACTTCCCAACATCCATTTCTAATATAAAGCTCTAGCACATAGGAAGCCAGCTCTTATATGTGCCCAATCTGTCTATTAAAGCCCAGTCAAACATTGCTTCCTGTATGAATTAATTCCTAACAAGAATGGCTCAAAGTGACTTCACTGAGTTTTGGGATCTATAACATCATTAGTTCCATTTCTTAGATATTTAATTGTAGACTCTGTGTAAGACTCTGTAAGTGTGTGTCACCTCATTCACTATGTTAAAAGCTTACTGATAACAGATGAGAACATAATATGCATCCCATCATTTGTCATAACCTTCAGTGCAGTATTCAGAGCATCATCAGTGCTGAACAGATCTTCCTGACAAAATTAACAGAGAAGTGGCAGTTCTGAAATTATATCTATTATGTGCTGTCATTGTGTACCAAAGAGTTGTTGCGCACCACAAACCCATAGCTAACTTTTCAGTGGGTTTTTAGATGTAGTAAATTACATAGGAAGATACTGCCTATTTTTCTCTTGCAGAGCAGCTGGTAGATTTGAACCAATACCTTAAGGCTGGCAATGTCATTTCTTTACCACTAAGCTGCCAGTATATACATATATAATCCTTATATCATAATTTATATCAACCCTTAGAAAAATCAAAACTTACTGAATACTTACTTTAATGGGACAGTCAAAAGTCTCATGAAATTCTTCCAAAGTATATAGTCCAAATACTTGGACCTAAAAATAAATGGATCAAGTCAGTTCACCATGATGGCAACAAAGAATGCTGCTGAATCAATTAAGAATACACACTTTCATTATTATAAAGAAGAAAAGCAGATATTTAATAATCCAAAGGCCCTTATGAGCTCTATTAAATATCCTATGAAAAAAAATCTCATCAGGATGAGTGGGTTCCACTGCAATTAAACTTTCATAAGCAACCCATGGACTGAGATCCCTTTATTCAACACAAATTTGTTTTATTAAATGGATGGCAACTTTTCAAAATGAAATAGATATGGATAGGATATTAATATTCTTTTACAAATTCTATATAGTCTATAACTAAAGGACTTTTCTTCTTTCCTTAAAGCAAAAGGAAGCTTCCTTTTTATGTCATAAATGAATGAATGAATGAACTAAACGCATAATCAATGTGGTGAGAGATTAGGTGAAGTGCACTTATAATCTCATGTATAACCTACTGAGAATATAGAAGTACAAGATATTTATTCCTGATTATAAGTATCCCATTTAAAGGAATTCTGGGCTACTTTATTTCTATTTAATCTCTTTTCTCAGTGATTCATTATAAAAAAGAAACAAACAAAATTAAACTGTAACACTGTGAGGTGAAAAAAGCAATTTGGTCTTTGTTCTCAGTTCCTGAGAGCAAGGCTGTATTGTGTAAGGTGGACCAGATGAAGAAGTAGTGTGTAGAAGACCTACACTGACTAACTGCAGGAGATATGACAATCTATCATGGCCGTAAGGGTAACCTTGAACATGGAAGTCTGGAAGACTCTCCTGGCAGCTTAGAACATTTGTTCTCAAGAGGTTCATACATCCCTGGGACATGAAAACTTTGTGCTAGAACCCTTCTTTACTTGAGGTGTCTTTTCTTTGGTGTACTTGTTTAGCTGTAATGAATCTGCAGTCATATATTACATTTTCCATGAAATTTTGAGTCATTCTTGGAAGTCACTCCAGAAAATTATCAAACACAAAGGAGCAGAGACTCCAGCAGGGGCGGGTGTTATTTTTCTATCTTGGTGTTACTATGAGCAATGATGCTATGCTGAGTAAAATACCTTAGTCACAAAAGGGCAAATACCGCATAGCACTACTGTTATAAAACAGGTTTGACATGAGGGTTTGGGAGGAGAATAGGATAAAAATGGATAGATAATGAACTTTGCATTGGAATAGATGAAGGTAAGAATATTAGAAGAAACATATGATTAGGCATGATATGTACAACAATTGCCCAGAATAAGAAATACATTGCAAAGAAGACTTGGGGGAGGTGGAAGAGAGGTAACTGTGCAGCAATGAATGAGTCTTTTAGAAAAATGAAAAAAGGTGAACTGAGAAGAGGGAAAGAAGGCACGGAGAGAGGGTAAAAATAAATGTGCAATGATGAAGGAATGAAAATCTGAAAAACAAACAAACAAAACCCCAAGAACGCTAAAAAATGAAATAATTACCCCAGCCAGTCTGTGGTGTACTCATGTGTGCATTTTGAAGGCTATTTAACTAAACTCTTATGTGACCATGATGCATATACTCCCATTTACTAAGAACTCTCCAAAGTACTGAAGAGCAATGGTGTCTCTCTGGAGACTAAGGTGCATTTGATATAGGCCATGATCTTCACAATCACTTGTTATGCATCAGAGTTGGACAATGACCAAGGAGGATAGAAGGAAAATTGGTGCCTTTGAGCTGTGGTGCTGGAGAAGAGTATTGAGAATACCACAGACTGCTAGGAAAACAAACAGATTTGTCCTGGAAAGGGTTAAACTGGGTGGCTCCTTGGAGGCAAGGATTCTGAGGCTCCGTCTATCATACTTTGGACATGTTGTGAGGAGAGACCGGTCCTTGGAGAAGGACATCATGCTTGGGAGGGTGGAGGGACAGCACAGGAGGGGAAGGCCCTCTATGAGGTGGATAGATTCAGTGACTGGGATAATTGGTATGGGAGTGTCAGAAACAGTGCGACTGGCACAGGACAGAGCAGAGCTTAGGGCTTTCATACATAAGGTCGCTATGAGTCGAAAGCATCACATAACAACAACAACAACAACCTACTGGGGACATTTGGACCTACTGGTATAAACTAGAAAGGGTCTGCTCATTTTTAAATATCAAGAAGAGTAACATTACGTTTTCTTTTCATTTTATAAGAATTTTTCAGTGCAGTTATTGGTGTCTACTGGCTTCTTTTGGGGAAAATTTTTCATTACAGATTGTTTTTTAGAAGATAGAAGACTATTCAAGGTATCAATTTTTTTCTTGTTTCAATACCGCTATATTGTGGTTTATTTTAGCAAATTGTAAGAATAAAGTTCACCCAAGTTGCAATTTTTAGAGATAAATTTATGCATCAAATAAAATCTCAGGACATCAATCACTTCAGTAACCACTACTTTCAATATATTTTGGCAAACTTAAGACAATTCTGGTGGCTAGTCTGTGGGATATTGTGCTGTTAGTCCAATGTGAGTGTCCTGCAGTTTGAAAACACCACCAGCTCCACAGAAGAAAAAAGGGCAGTCATTTCCTGTTGTGATTTTTCAGCCACAGAAACCTGATGAATGCTCAATATGAATCATCGTGACTCAACAGCAGTAAGCTTTTGAGTGACTTTGTGAAATATGAGAGGAGCTCTGTAGTCTAGAGAGCTGTGCTACCAATCAGAAGACGGGCAAAATCTCCTAGGCTCAGAAATTCGTTGGAGGGTCAGTTAATTAGTTCTCACTTGATGGCAATGAGTTTAAGAGTTTTGTAAAATATGGGTTTCAATGATTCAGGTATAATGTAAAACTTGTTTTAATATGAGAAAATTCTTAGAAGTTAATCTTGAAACTGCAAATTTTCGCATTTTTTCAGAGGGTATCAAAAAGGACTGGCTAATATAGAACCACTTTAGGAAGTAGCATATGATCAGAATCAATAGTAATAAAAGAAGTTCAACCTGCACTGAAAGCACTGGCAAAAAAGAAGTCTCCAGGAACTGGTGAAATACTAATGGACATGCTTCAACAAACAGATGTGCTCACTTGCCTATATCAAGAAATTTGGAAGACAGCTAACTGATCAACTGAATGGAAGAGATCCATATTTGTTCCCATTCTAAAAAAAATGTAATAAAATGCAGAAATTATTGAACAATGTCATTAATACAGCATGCAAGCAAAATCCTGCTTGATATTATTTTAACATGGCTAGAAAGTACATCAACAGGGAACTGGGAGAAATTCAAGCTGAATTCAGAAGAGACAGCGGAACAAGGGATATCATTGCTGAGGTCTGATGGATTCTGGTTGAGAGCAGAGAATATCAGAAAATGTCTATTTGCACTTTATTCACTATGCAAAGGTGTATGATTGTGTAGATCATAGCAGATTATGGCCAACATTGAGAAGAATGGAAATCTAAGGGCACATGCAAAACCTATATACAGATCAAGAAGCTATTGTTCGAACAGAATAACAGAACAGTGTGTGGTTTAAAACGAGGAAAGGGACTTTTGGACTCTGGTTCAATGCGGCACCTGGCTGGCCAAGAAGGCTGCTAATTCAGACAATCTCAACAGGTGACTTTGCCTCATCTAAGAACTCTCTGGAAACCCTGGCCCCACCTACAGCCAGCACTTAAGCTGTGGGCTCTTCTGGATCCCATCTCACTGTGGACCCTTGGTCCAAGGGGAGAGTAACACCAACATTCAGGATCCATGCAAGGCATTGCTTTCACCTGGGACATCATCCTGCTGTACCAGTCGTGCACTCTCACTCAAAGGCACCAGTAGTCAGCAGCTACAGAAAAATGGTCCTGAGACAAAAATCCTTCCTTCTAAACTGTCAGAGTTATGATGAAAGTTGGAAAATCTGGTTACATTACTCCACAGAAGAAGGAGTACAATAGACTTCAGGAGAGAGGGCATCAGAAAACAGTAAGCCATCCACCCCAGAGATCTTAGCAGCAGGATCAGAGAGAAAGGAACAGAAGCATCTGGCCTACTAGTCCCAGCTAATTTTGACACAGTACCAAAGAAGAACTAAAGGCAGGTTGAGTTGTCTTCCCTTTCCCTACTAGTGTATTGAGCTCCTCAACTGAAACAAGTCTTCTCTTGAGCCCAAGGATGAGAGAAAAATTCAGGCAGGGTAAGCTGTCCTTATCTTCTGTGGAGCAGTGAGCTCCTGAACCAAGGTTATCAGACCAATGTTGAGCTAAGGTCCCAGAAAAAACTCTACCATAGTAATGAAATGGAAGAAGCAGGCTACCTCACACCCTACACAAAACCAAAACAAGATGGCACCCCCCAAATTTGATCAAAACATATAATCAATGGATTTCCCAAAGCCACAAAGTCTGATAGAACTTTCTGACACAGAATTCAAAAGAACATTGATGGGATATTTTCAGTGGGTAAAAGACAAACTTAAAAGAATTACAGGATTCTGTAACCAAAGCCTACAGAAACTTGAACAAACAATCCAAGACTACACAAATAAAACAGATGAGATATCAGAGGCTCTGGAAAAAAACAAGGAACTGCAATTCAGAATATGAAGACCAATGTCTCAGATGTTGTCAAAATGGATATATGAGAAGAGGTGAAGAGATGGAACACAGAACCAGAAAAATAGAAGACAGAATTCTAAGCACTGATCTGCTACAACATAAAGCAAAAACAAAAAGGAAAACGAAGAAAGCCTAAGAATAATATGAAATACCATCAAGAGGGAAAGCATGCACATAACTGGAATCCCAAAATAGGAAAAAGCAGGAAAAGGCAGTAAGAAAACTGTGGAAGAGTTACTAGAAGAACATTTTCAAAGCATAACGAAGAATGAGAGATATATATAAAAGAAGTTGAGCAAACTCCATGTAGAATAGACCTCAAAAGAAAAACGCCAAGGCATATCACAGTCAAATTTACCAGAACCAAATATAAGGAGACAATTCTGAAAGCAGCTAGGTAGAAATGAATTGCAACATTTAGGGACAGC